CGGATTCTTTTATATACCACATCCAGCTCAGATTTCAGTTCGCTAGCTCACGAACGGAGAGAACTGTGAAACGCGATCAACCCTTTGTAGGGGGAATTTTTCTTGATATTGTTGGAACGTTTTACAATCAAAGAGAGAACACATGGATGAATTCCCTCTAAAATTGATATGGTAATTTACCCCTTTGAAATTTCCGTACAAAAGAACGATTGCTATTTCTATCAGATTGTAAAATTTTTATATCAGGCCGAGGTGGTCCAATTTTCTTCATGCACAGCCTTGTATCATAACTACATTGACTGTTTTCAGGCGTTTTACAGAATTGCAAATCATTCTCAATATCAATGCACAATACGAACTGGACGCAAATATCGGAACACAGCATTCACATAGTTTGCCTACGGATCGGAAAGATGATGCCGACCATGCCTATTCCACATTACTGCCTGTACTGAATGCTTGCGAAAAGGGAGATCAGTTAAACAGAATACCAGCAGATAGCACTGGCCTAGACGTAAATCAAGCGAAAAGAATATTGTAAGTTTAAAAATCGATCAATAGATAGCGCCGGGCAACGAGGTTGCTACCTCCCCTGTCAGGCTGCTGGGCGGCGGCCGTCATAAGACGCCATTTGCCGTACCCATGTTGCCATTTCAACACTCATTGGCAGCGATTTCTATGTCTGTAAGTTCTGTAACAACACTGCGTTTAGGACACAGAGGCGCGTCCGCAGACAATGAAAATCGTTCTACGGAAAAAGCGGGGGTTTGAAAGCTCAAGATGCGTTCGATTCGAAAGCAACCCTACAGGCCCACAGAGATTATTTTAGACAGCGCAAGAGTAGAAATACGGATCTCAGTGGGGGGGGGGGGCAGTGTCCCTAGCGCCTCCCTGCCCAGTCCCTGCCGCAGCCGCCACTGAGGGTACTGTATATTTGGCAATTGTATTTTGTACCAATATTTTGTCTTCTGCATTAAGGATTTTGTATTTAGGAGTTTCGTATATTGCACAGTACTTCACATTGTATCTGCATTTTATAATGATTGCATATAGCTTTTTTTACTTCAGGCTAACCATAGTATGATATTCATGACAATGTACCAACATGCGGGCGCACTTTCACATCACATCGGATTTTTATTTCTCAATGTTGAAGAACTAGCGCTCGGAAGAAGAGATGCTGCGCAGCATTACTGGCTTGCAAAATATGTAACAAAAAAATGGATATTGTATTATGACGATTCCCCGAGATCAGTTTTTAGAACGGTATGACCAAAGAGAAAAATACGTAATTCCATGAAAATGATCTCCCTAGTCATTAGCTTAGTGTTGCGGTGCCCTGAATTGGAAGTTGTGCTCACAGGAGCAATTGTTCCCTCCGAGGACCTTCTCCCACAATCGGCAGGAGCGCAGAAACCCCGTTGGAAGGACGATTTGCATCGTGTTAAGTGTCGTTTTTTACCAATAACTTCCAGGATGCTATTTTGTGAACTTCAAAAAGATATTGTTGAAACACCGACACTTTTTCTTTCAGCTTTATACAACTTTTTACGAAGTACATAGGTCCTTAATTTCCATAAAAATCTGCATAGATTTAACCAGCATTACAATTCCATAATTTGATGTGAATACGATTCAATATAAGGAAAATTGTTGAAAAGCAGGTTGTAAGGTGTGAGCTTCCCCCACTACTACTACTACGAAATTACCCCACATAGCCTCCATGGAAACAAAATCCCCCCAACTTTGAAACGAAAAATATACTCCAAATTATGGACCAACGACATGAGCTACCCCTGACGATTCCATTGGCTCTCCCCTCAAATTCAAATAATTCCAATCAACCAATCATCGCGTAAGAAAAAATCGTGAGACAAATTGCATGATAAGGACGGCTATTGTTTCTTTTTTTATTGACAATTGAATGATATTTCCATCTCAACTCCGCGTAAAAAAAATCCCCAAACATTCCGTCCATTTGTGTTCCCTATCATATCCCCACAGCGAAGAAAACTCCCTATTTTAGGGACAAAATTCCCAAATCTCATAACCCTGGATATTGCAGTTATCAGAGCAACTGATTTTCCATCGAAACTTTATCTAGATCAGGAAATAGACGAAGTGTTAGTTATCCGTGTTCGTGTAGCGAGCTCGCATGACAGTCGACGAGTTTTTTCGACTCCTAAAGTAGAAGTGGAGAGCAATCCTAACTAAATGGAAGATGGGATCTGGGAAAAGGGAGTGCTCAGTGTCCAAGGATAAATTTTCCCGTCTTTTAACTAAACTCATGCGTGAAATGGAAGTTAATGCTTGTGAAAATGTAAGAGCAGGTCAAGAACTGTGGAATTCTGCTTTTTAAACCATCAAAATTGGTTGAACGTGTACCAAGAACTAATGCTTATGATGGATGACTAACGATGCAGACCAACTTTTACAGCAATTGAGAAGCACTGATGGGCATAGATCTTCGCAAAGAGAAAAAACGAGAATCAATATAGAGCCAGGAAAAAGCAAGTCGATGGGTGACCATGGTGATAAATTTGACATGCACAACCCTGAATTTGAACATTTGGAACCCAACAATAATGAAAACCGTGCTGACGAACACGACGGATCCAGTCA